AAAAAAGAAAGAGAGATAGAGAGAGAGAGAAAGAGAGAGAGAGAGAGAGAGAGAAGAAGAGGAAAGTGACCTCGTTTTATCAACCCTCCTCGTACGCAACGTGCAGTTCGCAAAAGGATGGCCAAAGCGATATCAGCCATAGTAGATAATAGACATCTTGGGCTTTATTTTCAAAGCGCGATCGATACTCTCGAATCAATACGTAGACGGTAGTGCGTAGTCTTCACGCAGCCTCCTACTTTTTTCTTCTCTTACCATTTCTTCAGAGCGTAGTCTGAAAGAATATATATATATATATATATATATATATGTGTGTGTGTGTGTGTGTTCGAGGACGTGAATAGATTTGCAAATTGCATATAATCATAACGATCGATGATTTTATATAGATTTTTGTTCTTTTTTATCTTTTCTTTTTTTTTCTCTATGAAACAAAATAATAATAATAATAATAATAAGTAAATAAATACTTTTTATTTAATATATTATATATATATATATTTATTATTGAAATTTGATATTTTATATTTGAAAAAGAAAATCTTATCACAAACTTTTTCTAAAAGTATTTATATATAGTAATTAATTTATAAAAGTAATTTATAAAAATACGAAGAGAGAGAGAGAGAGAGAGAGAGAGTATCAGTAAATATAATATATTTTATTTTATATCGTTAAAATTTGAATTAATATTTATTTAAAATAAAATACTTTCTCTCTCTCTCTCTCTCTCTCTCTCTCTCTCTCTCCCTCTTTCTGTCTCTTTAAAAATTTAAAAAAAAATTTCAAACTAAAAACTAACGAAGATTTTATTTCATAAAAAATATCCATCTATGTTATATAATAAAGTGTACTTTAAATTTTGTAGGACGAGAAAAGAAATAAAAATGTTGTATACGAGAGTGTTATTAGATAGAAGAGTATGGGTGGGTGGGGTGAGGGGTGATGGGCGAGAAAGAGAGAAAGAGAGAGAGAGAAAGAGAAAGAGAGAGATAGAGATAGAGAGAGAGAGACGAGGGTGTAGGGCTAGAGGTAGTGGGGCGAGGAAGTAAAATGAACGAATACACTTCGACGAAGAAATATTCTCGGTCTAATACCTTCGTTGAATAGATGATCGGAAGCATTCATGCCTTACGAATAGATCGTGAGTATCCCTGCACCGGCGTTGGATATATTACCAGCGACATACACGTTCTCTTTTGTATGCACAAGAACGCCGCGTTTATATATCGCAGCTGCGGCAATGGTGGTTCTATATCGAGAGGGTTGATTAAAGTGATGAAGGAGCGGCTTCGATAAGGCTCACCTCGATCGACGCCGATTAAGCTTGCAAGCTTATACACTCCTACATATCTATATATACATAACGGCCCTGCATAGATACCATACGTATATGTATGCTGTGTACATATGCACGTATATATGTATGTATGTACGTATGTATGTACTATGCATGCATACGTAGTACGGTACGATTGTTAGATATAGAAATATGTTTGAAATAATACATTTTAATTGTGCAAAATTGAAAAAAGATATATCAGTTTGTAATACGTATTATTTATTGGATTGGAACAGTGACTAAAACTCTTCAAAACGATTTCTTTTTTTTCTTTTTTTGTTTTTTTTTATATCGCATATGATTTTTTCTATTTTTCATTTTCCCTTTATCTTTGTTTTTTTTTCTTTTTTGTTTTTGTTTTTCTTTTAATTTAAAAAAAATTTTTTTCACCAGTATTATGTCTATTTGAAAAGTAATGGAAACTTTATTTTCGTTGATTGTTACAAAGTGATATAATATTTATCGATAAAAAAAAAAAAGTAACTTTTTTTATACACATAATACTAATATTGGAATATTTTATATAAGTAGTCGATAGGAAGAAACGATGCGTTTAAAAATGAATGATAAAAATATCTCGAGGATTGTCTCTCTCTCTCTCTCTCTCTCTCTCTCTCTCTCTCTCTCTCTCTCTCTCTCTCTCTCTCTCTTTCTCTCTCTTATTATTTCTAATGTCTCAGGATTTTCATTTTTCTTGGCTCATATTGGTAATTTATATTAACATATACATACGCATGCACGCGCACACACACACACAAACATGCGCGCGCGGAGAAAAAAAGATTGACCCCCATTTAACGTAATACAATAAAAAATTCAAACGATTTTGATTTTATTTATTTTCTTTCATCTACGTTATATAAATACATAGATAATCGATCCTAGTCTCTACTAATATATAATCTCGTGTAAAATATCTTTCTTTTTTAATCATACGACAGAATAATATCACACGTGGCACGTAATATTATCCAGAATAGTCGAATAAGGAAAATGTCAGTGCATCCGCTATCACCTATACTACCCGTCCGACTTTTAGACATAGAGAGAAAATAAGGTTCAACCTTTATAAGGGCGACACAAATCATGCTAACACGACGTTTGTCGGTCGTCGTTGATCTCGAACGAAGCGACCCGTTAAACTTAACGAAGTTTACACGATTTATATTAATTTTGAGAAATAAAATATTGGAAAAGAAAAAAAAGGAAAAAAGAAATCGATCTATTAGGGGAAGGGAAAGGAAGATCAAACGAAAGGAAACCAAAAAGAAAAAAAAAAGAGAGAGAGAAAATAAGAAAGATTATTATTCCATTTATTATGTCTTTCAACGTTTGTATCAGTTATAAAAAAATCTTTATTTCAATACAACAGTACACCTGACAATTTAGACATTAGACATTTTTAATTTCTTTTTTTTTTCTTCTTTTTCTCCTAATAATAACAACACAAAGAAATTTTCTTCTATATTAATTAAAGAAAAAATAAACGAAAAGAAGAAAGAAAAAAGTGCGCTACTACTGCTGCTGCTGCTGTTGTCGTTGTTGTTGTTGTCGTTGTTGTTATTATTGTTGTTGTCGTGTCCCTGGAAGTGGACAGAGATAATGCGATAGTGATCGAAATAGTGTTTAATAATTATCGAATCGAAACTCGCGTTCAATGTCGACGAGGTTGTGATGCATTTATTACGTGATTGTCTCTTTTATTCCATTGTGGAAACGCTTCGAAAGTAAGAAGACATAAGAAAAGATGAGACAGCGCGGTTCACGACGTGTTCGTCCTCGACCTCGTTCTCGCGAAAACGAGACGAACTTGACCAATCCGGTATCTCACGCGGATCCTTCTTCCCTTATCGATCGATCTAACAACATTACGAAAAGGTATCCAAGCGCGGATGAGAATGTCGTCGAGGGTCCACATGGGGACCTTGGAATAGAGGCCCTTCCTGTTAATGAACGACGTACAAGATCCGAAAGGTAGCTGCAGCTGATTAATATATCGATCATTAGATCGATAATATTTCATTTTGATTATCGTATGAAAATTTAATTAGTATGTAAACAAACAAACAAACAAACAAACAAACGAATGAACGAACGAACGAACGAACAAAAAAAAAACAAACAAAAAGAAAAGAAAACCAAAACGATCATATTTTCGTTTTTATATATTATGGGGATTAAAATGATATTTTGTAATATTTGAATTGATGATGATGATGTATATATATATATATATATATATATATATATATATATATATATCAACGTGATCACAACCTACATCGAATATAATTTCTTTGATGCCAGATATTCCCCATGAATTTTAGCGTCATTTTGTAAAATGGAATTAATCCTTGGAATTAGCGTATATCGTTTCCGAGTAAAGAACGTGGGTAGATACCATTAAAGTCATAAAAGTCTCATGTGAATGTTTCTTGAATAGGGCTTTAGAAAACAGTTCATTATATTAGAAATGTTTATTCAAAGAAAAAAGGGGTAACTGCTTACGTTAAAAAGCTTGTGTTATAAGCTAACGATTGACTACAGGGCTTATTTCAGTGACTGCGATCCTTCCGGTACATTTCCTGGAAATTCGGCTGGTAGCTCGTCTAATAGCAGTTTATCGACGAGAAGTTTGGACAGTCCAAGTACGAGCTTGGAACAAGTGCATCCAGCGACCTCGTCGGCCAACGCATCGACCTCGTGGGACAGTGACGTCGATGTCGAGCCAGATCCATCCGATTGGAGTCAAGGTGTCACCGAAGAAGTACTAGCGCGTCTTAGTAATTCCGAGAAAAAGAGGCAAGAAGTTATCAATGGTACGTAGATTGATGATCCCATGCTCGAGAATTAGTTTTCAATTTTATATATTCGAAAAAAAAAAAAAAAAAAAAAAAGAAAAGAAAGAGAAAAAAAAACGAAAACAAACGTAGAACGTAATTGTTCATCTACGATATGATTTCTTTTGTTAACGACAGAACTGTTTCATACGGAACGATCTCACGTACGTGCTTTGAAGGTACTATCCCATGTCTTCCACAAACCATTACTAGAATCGCAAGTACTGCCATTGGATCAGATCCAATTGCTCTTTTCGAATCTGGACGAAATGGTAGCGATACATTCGCGTTTCAATCAGGCAATGAAAAGGAAAAAGAAGGAAAATCCTTGCGTGGGCGATGTCGGTGATCTTTTATTGGAAATGTTCGACGGAGAAGCCGGTGAGACGTTCGAACGTGCCGCCTCGACTTATTGTGCGAAACAGCAAGTTGCTTTGGACGCGTTGAGAGATCGACGTAGGAAAGATCTTAAATTAAATTCGTTTCTGAACGAAATCGAAGCCAATCCTCTTTGTAGGAGATTACAACTGAAGGACCACATACTGACAGGTATGTTGAGACTGACCAAGTATCCTTTGCTCTTTGAAAATCTCGCAAAATATACGATGGAAAAGAATGAGAAGGAGAAGGCATCGGTGTTACGTAGTCTCGAACGTAGCAAAGAGATCTTAAGTCGTGTAAATCAGGCCGTAAAGGAAGCAGAAGATTACCAACGTCTCGTAGAAATTCAACGTACCATCGACAGATCGGCCTTCGATAAATTCGATCATCCAACCGTTCAAGAGTTCAAGAATCTCGATATAACTAAACGCAAACTTATTTACGAGGGTCCATTGCAATGGCGTAGAACCGAACAGAATAGAGCGAAACCGGTCGATTTGCATGTCGTTTTACTCGACGACACGATATTTTTCTTGCACCGTCAAGATGAAAAGTACCTGTTAAAGTTTATTAATACCAGTCAAGCGAATTCCGTGTTAAGCCCTATCGTTAAAGTATCAACGGTACTTGTCAGGCACAATGCCGTGGACAAAAACTCATTGTATTTGGTCAATACCTCGCAAAATGGAGCACAAATTTATGACCTGGTGGCTGCCTCTCCGGCCGAACGCAAATTATGGTGTAAACACATTTCAGAAACGGCCGAAGCTTATAAGACTCGTGATAGACAAGGTAGAAGACCTACTCCACCTACTACACTGCCAGAAGAGTCTGTATCCGGAATGGAGGATACGTCTTTGGCTCTGCCTAGTCATGTCGTCGAAGGGAAAACAGATCATGCCGCGGAACAAGAACACGAGCCAGAACACGAACATGAACGTGAACCAGAATTAGAGTCTGAATTAGAACGAGAACATGAACAAAAATTAGAATCAGAACAAGAACATGAAAAAGAGCAAAAGGATAGGCCTGATAACTTAGGAAATATTGAAAAAGAGGAAGACGGTGGTGTACCGGATACCGCAAAAGTTGAACCTTCGACGAGCGAATCATCATCACAACAACATCAACCACAAAAGTCCGAGTCACCAACACCAAGAGGTAATTTCTATGTATATTATTAATCACTTTCATAATTTGATTACTCGGTGCTACGTTACAAGAATAATGATCAATATCCTTGAAACAGTTATTATTTGATTGTTTCCACGTAATGTTCTTCGTAATATAAGAAAGCTTTGATAATAATATCACGTCACTTTTTAAACAATATAATAGCAAATTAATAATTACTATAAAAAGTTAAAGTAGGACGTTCATTAATTCTCTTTGATCAATTAATATTACTTTGAATAATCAGGTATCGGGGAACCATTGCGTATGGTCATCACAGAAATCTCCCTTATTGATCCTCTTGAAGTACACGTGGAGGTACCATCTGTTCATGTTGCAGAACCAGTTCTTACAACGATAGGTATTATTCTTTTTACATTTTTTTTTTATTCCTATAATCCAATATGCTCATATACATACATTCATACACACACACACACACACACACACACATATTTATTTCAATATTTAATTCTATTATCGTACTTAATTTCTATCTTTTGTATTTCCAGAATGTCCAAGACGTGTAGGAAATTTACGTAGATAAGAATTAAAAGCGGAAGAATTGGCAAGAGGATCTGGGTAAGCTTAATGGTGGTTTAAAGCTGCAATCGCCCGACAAGCGAAAAGTCTTCTCTTCGGGTTCGTAATCCCGGTCCAGCCACCCAAACCATTTTTTCCGCCTGAAGTCTTCTTCACAAGTGAGATATTCACCCGCACCAATAACAACAATACACTGTCGTGTGTGCGAATTTCGTGGAGAATTGTGTTCCCAACTAATTATGACACTTGAACATGGCAGCTGACAAAAGTTGCAGTTTTTAATATGTGTGTGTTCCTTCTTGGGCCCGTAGCATCGCTATAAAGAAAAAAAAAGAAAAAAAAAGGAAGAAGAAGAAAAAGAAAACAAAAATAAAATGGAATGAAATGAAATGAAATGAAATGAAATGAAATGAAATTTATGAGGGTCACAACACAGTCAAGCTGGGCCGGAGAACGTAAAAAAGAGAATTTTATTAGGGATAAAGAATAATTAGAAGCGGGAAAAATTGGCAAGAGAATGTTGGATAATTTTAATAATAATGGTCAGAAGAAAGAAGTCAGTCAACCAAAAAAAAAAAAAGAAAAAAAGAAAAGAATAAGAAAAGAAATCCGGGATCATCAATTTTCGATTCTGACAACCCAAAATCCATTTTTCTATCAACTTTGTAAAACATTGACATGTCTTTGAAAAGTAATGAATGATACTTTACCAAAAGTTGAGATGTGTTTTTGAGAAAAACAAATGAAAATTTGCAGAATTGTAACTGATATTTACCAATTGTTAAGAATGGAAAATATGAAAGAGAGAAAATATTTATGCTCTTACAAACGTTACGATCATTGCTTCGCAAAAAGCGAATATAATAATAACCCTTTCTGTATCGTTTACATTTTTAACGATTCGTTTACTATAGTAATAGTAATAGATGTTTATTCGTTTTGGACTTCATAGTTTTGAAGAGTGAATCTATTTTTTACAGATTAAAATTCTCTATTTATTTTTATTTGCTTATCAAAGTGTTCTGATCGTTTTTCAATCGTTTTTTTTCCAATTATTGCTGTGTTCACAGTTTTACCTTTCCTTTATATAAATATGTGTTTACGTATATATATATATATATATATATATATATATATATATATATATATATATATATATATATTATTGTAAATTATCTGCATTCATTCTGTTTCAATAGTCTCTCACTGATTGTATTTTTTTTTGTATATATATTTGTCTCTCTACATTTATTTTATAATTTTAGTTTTGAGTTTGCTTTCTTACAAGTTTTCAAAATTCGACAATTTTGTATTTGCTGAATATTCAACGCCATTTTTATTGTGGGGAAGAGAGAGGAAAAAAAAAACATTTCTGCTATACTAATGATTATTTCTTGGCAAACATTACAATTGTAGTAACCACACTCATAAAGAAGAGGAAAATGAAAAACACGTAAATAAAAAATACAGAGAAGAAAATATGCTTATATATAATAGATCTATATATAAATATATATATATTTCGACATGTACATTCAAACGCATGTATATATACTTATATAAATTTATCCTTTGAAACATATAAGAGGCGATCGATCGCCACATGACAATGATCATCATTTGTTTATTATAGTAACTATATGTTACACACAGCGCTTAAATCAATGCGCATAATTGTAAGAAGAGATATGGCGTTTTTTTTTTTTTTTTTTTTCCTATAAACAATTGAATTTTTGAAAATATTTATATTTACTACGTATATAAGGGAAATTATAAGAACACGAAAAAGAAAAGAGAAGAGACACAAGATGAGTGACAAAAGTTTGCAGAAGAGAAATTACACACACACAATACACACACACACATACAGAGAGAGAGAGAGAGAGAGCGAGAGAGAGAGAGAGAGAAAGAGAGAGAGAGAGAGAGAGAGTGAGTGAAATAAAGAAAAAACAAAAACAAACGCCTTCATTAACCCTGACATTCGTCGCTGCAGATTTTCTGAAGCATCTGTTGTGTCTTAAACTCGAATGGAATAACCGGTTAGTTATTTTAACTTTAATTTTCAATTATTTTAATAATTTGGCCAATGATTATGAAATGTGATCTAAGTCGTATTATTTGTATTATTTTGAGATATTTTGACATTTAAATTTGAATTATTTAAAAATAATTTTATCTTTTATGTATTAGTATTAAGAATAAATTAACTTATGACGAAATATGCCTTTTAATATATCAAATGAATCAGATCACTTTCGTAATCACGAAACTGAATTATCATGACTTATAATTTATTCTGCGTCTTTACGTACTGCCCAATTTCAGTGAGTGACTCGGTGACACTAGGATGCGACTGCTGTACGCCAAATCAGTGTTTTCCGGCTAACGTAGAGTGTAAATCGATTAGAAGATACGACACACAACTGGAGTATTGATTAAATTATGTTCAAAACTGTACATTTATAATAATGTAAACTTAAACAAGAAAAACATTATTGAGAAGCATAACAATACTGTAGACATTGAAGAAGTATATATTGAAATTGAAAAGCGTGATTTGTGAGTGTAGTTTGAATGATTAGTGTAATAGATCGACTGAATGTAATTGAATGCTGTTGCAATTTCCAAGTTGGAAGGAAGGCTTAAATTTGTTTGTTAAACTACCTTGTCTCCTTCTGACTGATCCCTACTAAATTGTAAAAGCTGTAGGGAAAGATATATATTGGCCAATCATTTAAAGATTTCCTAAAATGATATGATAATAATTTTTCATAATTTTTTTTAATCTTGGACATTTTCCAAGGCTGCATGTGTGACAATGCTAAACAGTTTAAATACTGAATAGTCATTATTTATGCCAGGTAGCATATCCCTGTTGCCATGTTGATTCTTTCCAGGCCTGTATCCGCTTTAGACTTGAGAACTTGTTGAAGTAAGAAATTTATGAACAGTTAATAAATTGCTTTCTTGTTCTTCGATTAATCTTTTACTTTCACCAAGTCTCTCGATTTCTAAAGAGAAATGCATGTAAGGCCTTAATAATTCTTTTATACATTGGTATAATAATCTGACAAAAGAAAAAAAAAAAGTAAAAAGTAACAGTAATGATAGTATGAACGAGTAGTGTTGGACAATTAACATCATTTTGCATTTTTTACAACAACGAAATGATGCGGAAGAACCATTTCTTAGATAACACTAAGACTGTTGCATTTTTGTAATACTATGAATAATCTGACATTTTATAACATTTCTATAATTTTGAGTGCTCCAAAAAACAAACAAACAAAAAAAAAAGAATTTAAACATAATATCTCAAATATAACGAGCGTGTAAAATTTTGATTTATGATGAAATCATGAACTAAGATTTATTAGTTTATGATAGAAATGATTCAATTTTAAAAGAATTCAATAGCACAAGAATGATATATGTGAAAAACGAATGAAGTTCATAAACGCAATATTTTTGCTCTCTGATCATCCAGATGTCTTCTTATATTTTGCAATGTTTCTATTTTCAAATCAATAATTTTGCTCTCAATGTTGTACTTATATCTTGGTGCTACATTTGCCTATGTGAGCGACAAAGTTCCTTTCCTAAATCACTGGATGTCTCTACGAATATGAAAATATTTTATAATAATTCTCTGATTGATAATATATCAAAATATAAATTACAATGAATGCAGTAATAAACAATTAATAGAAATGTAGCAGATCCAACATTTTACAAAAAAAAAAAAAGAAAAAAAAGAGAAAAGAAAGAAATATGACCTATTGTGACTTCATGATTATATATATATAAATTGTTATGTCATCACAATGTCTGGATATGTTGAAGAAATCAAACGATCGGAATGCTAAAATAAGTTTATATATGATTGGAATAATAATCACACGAGATAAAGAATTTATTTACTGACGTAAAATTTTACTGTTATTGTTCATTAATTCTTTATCTAATAATGAACTTCAAAGCATTATAAATACAATACTATGTATATGTATAAAAATATTTAATAACATTATTAGTTGATATTATTATTATTCTTATTATTATTATTATTATTATTATTATTATTATTATTATTATTATTATTATTATTATTATTATTATTACTATTAATTATTATTATTATTATCATTATTATTTATTTTTTCTTGGCGTGACCCGAGTTACTCCTTTTGACGGGTTTTGCTACAGATTGAAAGTACATTGTACTATTATGGTGGTTGATGTCCTGAGCCGATGAATGCTCTGATTATTTTATTATTATTATTATTATTATTATTATTATTATTATTATTATTATTATTATTATTATTATTATTATTATTATTATTATTATATATTATATTATTATTATTATTATTATTATCACTATTATTTTACTGCATTAAAATACTTATAAAATTGTATATTTTTTGCAATCATTTTAAACACACACTATAAATACTTGAATAAGGTTAAATGTAAATGTTTAATAATAGCATTGTTGATTCGTAATAATTTCTATATTTTCACAGAAAAAATCGTGCACTTGACAATAGAAAGATTTTATGTATATCCTTAGAGAAAGAAGTGCACTCTCCTCTTAGATGAATAATCTAAGATAAAAAAAAAAGTAAAACTACATAAATATTATATGTACTTGCGGATGAAACATGCTTTTTAAAGAAAAAAACAAAAAGAAAAAACAAAAAAAAAAATGGAAATTGCTTCTCTTGTATCTTCATATAGAAAGAAAGATACTGTATATTCGTATATTAATTTGAAATTGTTTTAATTTATTAAAAATACAATCAGAAATGGAAACAAGTTTTGTCAGATAAATACAAAATACTTAAATATGTAAAATCAGCATATTTTTTGTACGTTATCTAGGAGAACAATGTGTATGATATAAATAATTCTCTTGATTCCATAGCGATTGATAATACATTTTTAATTGGTGAAAGGAGAACTGAAAGTTATGCATATTATATTTCTTATAAGCTAAAATAAAGAAATATAAAACCATGCTTTCAGGCTTTATTTAAATGACATTTTTGTAAATATCTGTTTCTTTTTGTTTATTTAATGTTATCAGAAAGATTTTCATTTAAATCAAATCATTTGTTTATATTATTATTATTATTATTAGATCTAAATCATCTTAAAATGTATAAAAGTACATATAAAAATTAGGTTTTTTTTTCTATACATATAGAAAAAAAATGTGTATATGTATATACATACATATATATATATATATATATATATATATATATATATGTACACATTTTTTTTCTCTTCATAACCTCATCATATATAAAACTTATACGATATGATCATAAATATAAATATAATGTATTAATAAAAGTTATTACTCTCGTTCTTCCTTTATTTTCATTTAATTCTGATATATCAACAATACAAACAAAATTGATAAGCAACTGAACAGTAGTTGACTAGAAGACGTTCTAATGATCGGATGCAAAAGAATTTTTATGGTTATAAGATTAGTTTATATTATCGATTCGTTTTGAGATTTAAAGTATATTAATATATAAGATAATATCGAATATCATAAAGAAAATATTTCATTAGTGATGATATTTAAATAAAATTAAATTAAGTTCTAATAAATACAGTGTCTTTAAAAGTAAAAAAAAAAAAAAAAAAGAAAAAGAAATAATAGGAAATTTACAAGACATATTAAGTACGTATTATTGATCTAAAGTAACAAATTATCGTGAAAGAAAAATGCGAAATATCGAAATAAAAACGAAAATCAGTGATTCCACAACGCTTATTAATAAACTTGAAAAAATTACCGAAAGTAAATGGATTGTTATAGAACAGTATGATACTTTCTTTAATACGAAAACAGGTAGATTAAAATTGCGTCAATTTGAAGTAAGTAAATATATATGTATATCTACTAAACTAATCAATTTATTTAATTACTATTTTAATTTTTTATTTTAATTTAACTAATATTTTAATATTTCAATTTGATTATCTTCTTATATTTCCTTTTTTTTTTTTTTTTTTTTTTTTTATATAAAATACTTTGAGATATTATAATAGAAAATACATAATGATGTCATTTTATAGGATAAAACTGGTGAAATAATTTATTATGAAAGACCTAACGTTACGGGGCCTAAGCTTAGTAATTATAAAAAAATAAAAATGAACGCAGAAACATGTGAAAATTTAAGAGATATATTAACCATTTCTAATGGTACTTTAGGAGTTGTAAAAAAAACAAGACGATTATTTATGATTGATCAAACTCGAATACACATTGATGATGTACACGGATTAGGTAGTTTTTTGGAATTAGAAGTATGTAATGTATGATTTAATAATTAAATAATCATGTACATGTTACAACAAATGTATATGTGAAAAATATTCCTACATATAAATGTTTGATATTTTTCTATTTTAGGTTGCTCTAAATGATGATCAAGATGTTAGTTATGGAGAAAAAATTACACAGGATATAATGAAAAAATTAGATATTGAACCAGAACATTTAATTTCCGAAGCATATATAGATTTACTTAATAAAACTGAGAATTTATAATAATATAGACATTTGCGTTTTGTATGTAATGATAAAGAAATTCTTTATCAAAAAATATTATCATGAAAATATTATACATATATAATGCGTATAAGTATTATAAAAAATATTAAATCATTTTATTTTATTTATACAATGAGTAATAAATCATTATTTTTGTTTCAATAATTACATTTGTATCAATAAAAATATTTTTAATAAAATTTCAAAGATTTTATAATATTTCTATAAATTTAAGCAGTTTACAAATAAATACGAATATCATAGAAATATGACTTACTATACGTTCTTTTTAGGGACCCTAGATTAATGAACTTCGATTGTTATTTAGAACTTTTAGTAAGCTAAATGTGTTAGTTGACTTTTGGTAAAAAGTTGTTTTGATTCATAGGAAATAAATATTAGTTCGTTAGATCTTGGCAATATTTTTGAATTTCTTACTAAAAAATGGAGACTAAACCAAAAAATGAATATTTACTTGCTTTAAAAGGTAATACATAATATTTTGATATGTATATATATATATATATATATATATATGTTTATATATTGTGTTGTAAAAAAAAAAAGAAAAACAATAATACTACAATAATAATAATTTATATTTATATATGTATTTAATATTTTTTTCTTCAATGCCAAATATGTGAAATTGACAATTTTATAAATTTTTTTCTAGTAATGAGGTTAACACGACCCACTCTTGCCAGTCCTATAGTTGTTACTTGTGATTCAACAGATTTACCAGGTAATACGCTCAACAATGAGTTAAAAAATGATTGCACATCATTGCAAGGAATGGAAACACTTGCTATTGGGCAATTTATGGTATTACCGCAAAGTTTTGGGTATAAGTTTTTGTAATATTTAAGTTTCTTTTTTTTTTTTTTTTTAAATATATGGAATATTTTATAATAGTATAATATAATACAATAATAGAATTTATTTATATATTTCAGAAATATATATTTAGGAGAAATATTTTCAAGCTATTTATGTGTACATAATGGTAGTAATCAAGTAGTTAAAAATGTGACTGTTAAGGTAATTGTTAGAAATTAAATATTTTTTTTGAAAATAAAAATATAAATATTTTCATTGCGCTATATACTTTTACTAGGCAGATTTACAAACGAGTACTCAAGTTATTTCATTGTCATCGGGAAATTCAGAAGTCAAAGAATTAGCTCCTGATAATACAGTGGATGAAGTTATTCATCATGAAGTTAAAGAGATAGGAACGCATATGTAAAATTAAACAAAAGTTAAAATTTTATTTATTGAATTGATAATTCCTGTGATTAAATTTTTATATCATTTTAGATTAGTATGTGAAGTTAGTTATGCACCTGCTAATTTAATGGGTCCTCAACAGTCGTTCAGGAAATATTTTAAATTTCAAGTAGTTAAGCCATTGGATGTGAAAACAAAATTCTATAATGCAGAAGTAAGTAATTATAAATGATAATATAAGTAATAATAAGATAAAAAATATATATATGTAACATACTTTTGCATAGTCTGATGAAGTGTATCTTGAGGCACAAATACAAAATCTTACAGTAGGTCCAATTTGTCTAGAAAAAGTGTCATTGGAATCGTCACATTTATTTAGCGGTTAGTAATAACATAATTAAATAATTCTTAATTGATAGTATGTTAAAAAGTAATTTTTTTCTTTTATTAGTATCAACATTAAATAAAAATGAAAAGGGAGAAAGTATTTATGGGAAAATTAACTTATTGGATTCTGGTTGCAGTAGACAATATCTATACTGTTTGAAACCTCAGTTAAGTTTACAAAAAGATCCTAAAATGATGCATAATGCTACTAATATTGGGAAATTGGATATTGTATGGAAAAGTAATCTGGGAGAAAGAGGACGACTACAAACAAGCCAGTTACAAAGAATGGTTCAATTACTTATTTATTAGATAAGAGATTTTATAACAGTTTAAATATATGAAATAATACTTTCTTTTTTTTGCTCGAAAATAGGCACCAGAATATGGAGATTTAAGAGTCATTATGAAAGATATTCCATTGAAGGTTTACCTTGAAGAACAAGTAAATCTTAAATGTCACATAACAAATACTTCGTATGTGTTAATTTTTTTTTTTAATTAATTTATATCTTTTTTTAATCATAGTTTATTATAAAATATAAATGCATTCTATTGTAATTTTAATTATTCATTATTAGAGAAAGAAGTATGGATTTGTTATTAAGTTTGGAATCAAGTGATTCAATTGCATGGTGTGGAATATCTGATAAAATAATTGGAACGTTAAAACCTGGAACCTCTATTGATGTACCTTTGAGTTTAATCCCATTAGATAGTGGTATTACTGTGAGTAGATTTCATATAAAAAAGAAAACTTTAAAGTATAATATAAAAAATATGAGTTTTACTTTACAGATTATTTCTGGCTTAAAGTTGATGGATACTTTTTTAAAAAGGGTATATGACTATGATGATTTAGCACAAATTTTTGTCAACCAATTGAATTAATGTGACTTAGGACAATATATAATGTATATTTTTTGGATATATTTAATTTAAAAATTATATTATAATAATAATTATTATTTAATATTTATTCAAAGATATGCATCTATAGTAGACATTTTTTTAGTTTCACTGACAGCTCCAACAGCACATGCTAATAATGTTTGAACATCCTTAGGTTCGTTTCCACCAAAAATGTAACCATTTGCCTTATCAATGGCATTTTTCACTTGTAACAAAAGTGCTTGATTGGAAACATCCAATGGTATAAAACTTACAAGACTATAATCCTCAACTAAAGAAACTAAAGCTGCATTAAGCTTTTTGTACCTGTATATAAGAAAAATTTTATTATTACTTTTATAGAAAGAAGAGAGTTTAAATTGTAACTTGTTAAAAAAAAAAATTAAATAACATACTTTGCTGTAAAAGGATCCTCGTCCAATTTCTCTAGAAGATATTTTAAATCGAGTACTTCTGTATAAAAATCTATATTAAATGCTAAACGATCGTTAAATTTTTTCATTTCATCAAATTTTGTCATAATGTTAACATGAGGTAAACCTAATTGCAACATAGTAGTTGTACATAAAATTAGAGATGATAAATATTTCCCTGTAAACAAATCATAAATCTTTATATTTACTTTATAAATATTTAAACGTGTATATAAACTCTTTCAGAGAATATATTTACCTGGATCGCTACAATGATGTGAGTCTACAAGATGTACGCTACATAATCTTATTAAATTCTGAGTCAATTTCTCAACAATTGAACTAACAGATTTATGATGTGTATAAAGTTCAACCTATTTATAACAAAGTTATAATTCAATAATGTATTCACGATAAACGATTTAAATATTGATGTATAATTATACCTGTCCTGGGCAATCAAAAATAAGGTAGTAATCCTTCAAATTTAAAACTTTACTAATTAACCATTTGACATTTGCTTCTAAAAATTCCATACAGTAAACTAATGCACCATTCGGACCAAGACCATATTCTGACATTACTTCTTCGTGTTCGATTAATTCGGATATATCTACTAATGGGGTATATTCCATATTTTCATTGGCTGGATCTGATGGTAAGAAAATATATTTGTATAAATTAAATAATTACAAATTAATGCTATATCAAGCATACCAATGTTGATAACAGCTACTTTTCTGCCCATTTGTTCCAAAAATTTACACATTGCATTACAGTATGTAGTTTTTCCACTACCAGGTGGCCCAATGACCAATTGTCCAAATATTAAACTCATATTTTTTATCAGTCTTCAAAATTACCACAATTTCAACTGATTTATAGTATCAGTTATAGTTTTTAATATCTCTTTATTATAATCTTTTAAAGATAATGACAACAATAAAGGTTTATCTATATTTATTTCTTCTGCGATATATCTAGCGGCAGCATGAACATCAACTTCGTCTTTACCAAAAATAATACTGAAATTTTTATTTAATTATATTAGATGTAAAGAAAAAAAAAATAATAATAAAACTACTTACTTGGTAGAGAAAATATTACTGTTAAATTGATTTAAAGCCGATTCTCGATTAACTGTAATTAATGATCCCAGTTTCTTGAAATGAGATATAATTAAAAATATACGATTACTAAAAATAAAATGTAATTTTAGTTAATAGTCCAAAATGTCAATTATTCTTTATATATTTGTTCGTTACCTGTAAATCGTTACAGCAATATCCGTATGATATCCACAAGTATTAATTGCAAAAATATGATTCATAATTTTTCACACATTTCTGAAAAAAAAAATGATTATCATACTTAAATTATAGAAAATTAGTTAATAATTATATTCCCAAAACATATTATAAGTTCAAATGTTCCATATAAGAAATGATATAAGTACGAAGTAATACTTACAACAAAAATGTTTTATGTTTATAATTTCCTTTTTTCTTTTTCTTTATCGCTTTTATTTATGAATAAACGTATATTACAAATATACAACAAACTTTACATATACGTACATATAACAAATCGATTGTCATTGATTGACAAGTATTTTGTTTTTTACTATTTAGAATTGTGATAAAATTGTTATATTATTTCTTGATCAAGAAATAATAATATTATGGCGATTTCTATCTCACGAAAGATACGTCTATTTTTGTAGACGTAATCCTTGAAATTGTCGTTAATTAGATATGCGATCCAATTATAAACGACTTTCACTTTTATTGTGATTAATTGTTACAACATTTGATTTACCGTATTAATGCGCTAAGATTTATCAATAATAAAATATAAAAAATTTATTAATTGAAGAATAATAGAAAAATATTACACTAATGATGATCTTATACCAGCATCGTGTTTCGCGGCAAAGTCGATAGGTGTCGCGACATGTCACCGGTAATAAAAATATATATTGAGCATCCCATCTAGGGAGAGTTGTTTTTATGAAGAACTCTTCTTGTCCCAATCATCGAAGGATTAACTCTATTCGTGAATATACAAAGGTGCAATAAACAAGAGAGACAAAGACGATTATTATTTAAGGTGGAATAAAGTTTGATTACATTATTTAATGGTGTAATCAATTCTTATCTCTATAAGCATTATTATTCGTCCCATATTTACAATACAAAAAAAGGGAACTGTAATAAAAATTTTATTTTTCACTTTAACTAATATATCGCATCTTTATTCTTTCTGTTCATTATACTTTAATTCTTTCTAATTAGGACTATATCCTACATTAGGACTAAAACAGATGTTCCTGCATTCTAACGACTCATGTGCTTTTTATTGACTCTATCGCAAAGTACAATATTCGCATATAGGCGTCGCTATCATCGCTATACCAGCACAATTTGTCCAAATGTTTATGCATTTGTATTTTGTTGCAATATGTAGAAAACATTTTTATTGGTTGTGTTAATCTCCATTATATGTTCATTTTTGGTTAGAATTACGAAGTTATTCTCTACACATTTTACATTCTAAGATCGACTCACATTGTGAAGTCTCGTATGGACGAGTTATCGCCATCATCGTGTACTTAGTAGAAAAATATCTTCGTTAATAGATGTAAATTTATGTGGTATCGATATATTTATTTTAATATATTTTTTATCGTTAATTGCAATTTTTTTTTATTGGTATTTCAATTTCAGCCGAATTAGTGTATAGGTCAAGTTAAAATCTCAGGTTGGTTGGCTACCACTATTGCTGTGTTAACAATGTCATTATTTAATAAACCAAAACGGAATATTCGTCGGCGACCTTTCAATGACGAGGACGAGGATAATGAAAACAGGATGGAAATCGAAGATACTCAGCCTGTCAAAGTAAAAGCCAAGAAGAAAGACAAACCAAAACAAACGCTCCTTAGTTTTGGAGAGGAGCTAGAAGAAGGTAAATGTTAATATCTGCTATTGCATAAATTATAGTAACATATTAGAAAGATTATTATTAATTTATCATATATGGACAATTAGAATGAAAGATATTTTTATCGTAAAATATTGTAATGATAGCTTATCAAAGTTTTTTCTAGTTTTTTTTTTTCTTTATATATATATATAAAATATATTTCCACAATATGTTCAACGTAACAAGCTAAGGATTTGATTAATATGAATATAATTGTATATAATATTAATAGTTTAATAGTTCTTTTTAATTTCATGTAAGGAAGCTTATTTTCTAGTAAATTAACTAAATTGTCATTAAAAGTATATAATAAAGTTTAAATTTAACTATATAGGATAGACATTTGTGAAATCGTACGTATCTTCTATACATACTTTTATAATATTATGAGTATATTATAGATATTATAATTTTTTCTTTTTATTTGTAATATAGATTAATAAAAGAGAAATATTTTATAGAATTATTTATTAGATATCTAGACTTATGATTTTATATCTTGGATATAAAAAATTCATGTTTTAATTTATGAATTTCTAAAGAATTTTTAGTGTGTCAAACGATTCAGGATTAATGCGACAATTTCAATAACGTTAATTTCAATAATGACATTTACAGTGTTTAATAAAATTTATTGATTTTTTTAGCGGATGATGGAGAAGTTTTTAAGGTGAAGAAATCTTCGAGGAGCAAAAAACTGATGAAACAGCTAGATCACGAAAGGAGAAAAAAGAAAGGTGAAGAGAAAATGCAAGTGGACTCTGAGCAAGCAAACATGTCCATTAAACAGGAAAAAGATTTAGAAATAAAGACAGATGATCTAGTAGTAAGCTATCTCTATGATGTATTATTATTATTAGAATTTCTCCAATTTGTAATCAAGTATCAGTTTATTGCGTCTTAAAGTATATATTTGACAAACACTCAAGGGATATATACAACAAGAAGACATGTTCATTATTACCTGTATTATTTATTAATTTCATTTTGATAGAATGGATAATATTGAGTTTTATAATACAGGATATATAGAAAATAATATTTCATATTTGTGTACATAATATCAAGGTATTGCACATATCAAATAATCTTCAATAATTAAATTTTATCAATTCAAACAAATAGCCGGTCTTGTATTTATATGTGGTTCATATATTATTATTTTCAAACAAATTATATTGTTTATCCATGATAGCAAGAAAAGACGCAACTGTGTACTCTTACTATCTATAAAACATTTGTATATATTTATATATAAATATATATATATATATACTCAGATATTAATAATTTCAATTTTTTAAAATTTTTGTGTTATTTATATATTTCTCATATTTATCGTCAGGTTATCTTTTTATTAAAGAAGCATGCTATAAAAGCTCTACAAATTGTCATAACAAACAATTTGTCATAACAAATTTCAATTTTGTTTTCAAAAATATTAATTTGTATTCCGTTAAAAAATTTTTTTAATATAAAAATATATTTTTTATTAACAGGTTAAAATAAAAAATACCGGACCACTGATTTTAAATGGAAGAGCTGCATTGGCAGCAGGCAAGGACGATTATACATCTGATGAAGAAGATGAATCTCATTCTCATAAATTTCGAAAAAGTACAGATAAAGCTGATACCATGAAGATACTGCTTGAAAGTGAGTTGTGTTTGTGTTTGTGTGTGTGTGTATATGAGATATATAATTAATAAGATTAAATAATTTTTCTATTATTTCTTATTATAATTATCCATATTTTTTTAGGTGGCTGTATACCCGACGCTGCTATGATACATGCAGCTAGAAAACGTAGACAAAAGGCTAGGGAATTGGGAACAGATTATATTCCTTTAGATGAACAAAGGTAATTATTAATTATTGAAATAATATAGATAATAGTTAATAGTTAGATGTAAAAATTTAATGAATTATTATAATTTTATATTTATTCATAACATGTATATACGTCATATATGTACGTATTATACTATATATATATATATATATATATTTATATTCTATGCAGTGATGAGAAAGGGAAATCACGGTTAATTAGAGAAGAAGATCATGATAGAAGCGATGATGATTCTCAAGATCGTATTGATATGACTGTCAATACGGAAGCACGAGATAAAGAGAAGAGGAGAGAAGCTTTTCTTGCATCACAAGTATCAAACAAAAGTAAATAATATATTATAAAGATTAATTAATATGAAAGTTAAAAAAGATTTGGAAAATTGTCATATGGGGATTTCTTTTTTTTTTTTTTCTTTTTTCTTTTTTTCCTTTTTTCTTTTTTTTTTTCTTTTTTTTTAAGTTTCTGCCGAAGAAAGTGAGAATGAAAATGAAGAAGAAGAATGGGAAGCTCAACAAATTCGAAAGGGTGTTACAGGTGCTCAGGTAAAAATTATTTTCTTTTATATTTTATTTCTGTATAAATATATGACAAAGCTTAGTTTTGTCCGTAATAGAGTATCGGTTGAAAATAAATTTTATAATACAGATTGCAGCAGCTCATCAAGATTCTATGATACAACAACAATTCTCATTAGGATTAAATGTAAACCAAATGGTTGCACCTGGAGTACCATTAGAAATGGTTATGATGCCGGCACCACCACCTCCACCAACCATTCAACCACCAGATCCAACGAAAGTAGTGCCCATTACTCCGCAAGAAGTTATTAATAAAATGCGTGCAAGGTTTTGTTTCTTTTTTTTTTTTTTCAATTCATTTTATCTATAAAAAACAAGCAAGACACACACACACACACACACACACATATATATATCTATATATGTTGTATATTTCAAATGTATTTTTATAGATAATGTAATACATGTTATTATATAATATGAATCAATGAAAATTTATAGGTTGGATAGTTTACGAGAAGTACATTCGCGTCACCAATTAGATCAACATCAACTTGAACAGGAATTAGAGCAGACTGTGAAAGAGTTGGATGAAGGCGAAGCTCGTGCGCCGCAGCTTGCACAACGCTTCAGATATTACCAAGAGT